AACACAGACCTCTGGTGCTCACTACTCTCCGAGGCAACACATCTTTATATTGTGTGTAGGGGAGGCGGGGAGGGAATGCCTTGTGCAGGCCATGTGCAGGTCTCACCCATTTTGTCGTGACCTGGCTCATTCCAGACCCCAACACCTCATTGTGTAAACAAAACAAAGCAAAAGAGCCCAGGTTAAGACAGAAAAAAATATATAATAAAGTACTGTGATACCGTAGTTACTTAGCTGTTATGCATGGAAATGCATCAGCCATGCTAAAACAATTCCCAGATATAATGTGGGATAGAAATTCCTAAAGTAATCAATCAATCATATATTTACTTTTCATTTTTAAGGTGCTTACCTTTTCTTTTTCCTCCGTAGGCTTCTTTAGCCTGTTGACGTATCTCCTCTCCCCAGCACCTGGGGTCCATAGTCACACCAGTCCATTCTTCTTGGGAGGAAGAAGACAGCAATCCGCGTCTGGAGATCACACTCCTTTGAGATTGTCTGTCCTTCCAGGTCAGGAAGCAGCTGCCACCCCAGTGAGCAACCTCTTCCCAGACCCCTCGATCTGTTTTAGCTCCACGATCATCTGAACTCTCTAGCTGATTTTTCTTTTGGTCTCGGGAAGGCATAAGAGCATCGCTGATATACAGATCTCTAGTTTCATGTGGAAGTGATTCTGCTGCCATCTGCTGGAATACACACCTGCTTCTTCTGTCTGTATATATTTTGTTTTCCTTTAAATTGTACCTCAATGACAACAGATCATCGTTTTGCATGTCAGAGAGAGAGAGATGACGGGCAAGAACCATCACACCCTGCCATGTCTAAATGCAACTTACCGTTTTTCTTTAGCCAAAACCTGCCAGACCTGTTTGATGTGCTTTAAAAACCTGCCAGAACTGTTTGCTGTACTACTATAATAAGAGTAGCAAAAGGAAATGTGTGTTTTATTTGCTGTGAGACATGACGCTTCTCTTGAAACCAGCTTCACTCCTCTTTCAGAATTCCATCCATTTATCCAGGACTACCTTCCTCTAATTTTCCTCCCTGAACCTTCCTGAACCATCCTACTTGCAAACAAGCAAGTGTGTACATTAACATCTTATCACCCGGTTTTCAGTGTTTATGCTTCGGAGGGACATGTTTAGAATCAAAATACCAAGTCTGGATCATTCACTGCCATCTCCCATTTGGTAAAGAGAAAAAGATGCATTGTTTAGGAAGGAGTCTGAATTTGAGCTGGCACTTTTCATGCCCTTAATGGGTCAGGGTTAGTCCCACAGGTCAGAGGATGGCCACCCTAAGACCGCAATTGGCCTCTGGGCAGCTCTTCAATAAGCCAAAGATGGATCATGATTCAATCAAACTATTGCTGTTGTTCTGCACTCAGTCTTCAAAAGAAGTGGTTCCCAATGCTGGGTAACCCAGGTGTTCTTAGACTGCAACTCCCAGAAACCTCGGGCAGCGCAGCTGGTGGTGAAGGATTCTGGGAGTTGCAGTCCAAGAATACCTGGGTTACCCAAGATGGGGAACCACTGCTCTAGAGGGATCTTCAAGGATGCATCCAACAGTTGACCACAAGACTTCCCTCTTTAGTTTGGGACATAACAGCAGTTCCCCAGTGACTTTGTAACACATAATATTGTGGTTTTCTGTGACTGCAGACAATGTGGGGAGAGCAAATTCGAAAGATGTTAGTGCTTATTACAATGCTTTACACATTTTGGAATATTTTATCTGTCTCTGGCAAAAAAATTAGACTTTTTAAAAAAATGTATTAAACATTTTAATAAGTTCAGAAAAATTTGAATACTTTGGTTTTCGTTAATTTTTTTCTTCTTTACTTCCCCACCTCGCTGTTTCTCTCTCTCTCCCCTTCCTTTTCTTTTTCAGACTGTTGGTCAAAACGGGGCTTTACAAACAGTTCTCAGACACTGTTTAGTGGTGGCATATTTTACATTTTTGGGGTAACTGCTGGCTTTGGGAATTGCAGGTGTGCCCTGTGTTTCAAACACTGCACCCCACCTCCTTGTTTGTTAGTTCCAGTTGGGGAAAAAATAGGGCTGCATTTAAGTTTGTAAAAGAAAAGTTTGCAAAATGTATTTAAATGCATCTCTTCCATGCATAAAAAGGGACGTGGTGGCGCTGCGGGCTTTACATTTTTGGGGTAACTGCTGGCTTTGGGAATTGCAGGTGTGCCCTGTGTTTCAAACACTGCACCCCACCTCCTTGTTTGTTAGTTCCAGTTGGGGAAAAAATAGGGCTGCATTTAAGTTTGTAAAAGAAAAGTTTGCAAAATGTATTTAAATGCATCTCTTCCATGCATAAAAAGGGACGTGGTGGCGCTGCGGGCTAAACCGCAGGTTTAAATGCATCTCTTCCATGCATTAAAAAGGGACGTGGTGGCGCTGAGAGCGAAACCGCAGAAGCCTATGCTGCAGGGTCAGAAGACCAAGGAGTCGTAAGATCGAATCCATACGATGGAGTGAGCGCCTGTCGCTTGTCCCATCTCCCGCCAACCTAGCGGTTCGAAAGCATGCAAATGCGAGTAGATAAATAGGGACCACCTCGGTGGGAAGGTAACAGCGTTCCGTGTCTAAGTCGCACTGGCCATGTGACCACGGAAGATTGTCTTCGGACAAACACTGGCTCTAGGGCTTGGAAACGGGGATGAGCACCGCCCCCTAGAGTCGAACACGACTGGACAATTGTCAAGGGGAACCTTTACCTTTACCTTCCGTTCACAATCAGATTCTCATTCCACACCCTTCACTAAGGAGAATTTAATTGGCTTTCTTCGTCAGTGTCTAACTACTGTGTCGTCGGTACAAAAATTGGATATCTTACAGACGTTTGTACACACACACACACACACACACACACACACACACACACACACACACACACACACACACACACACACACACACACACACACACACACACAGAGCAAAGGGAAAATGCTTCCTCCTTTTACACCACCTGAGAATGCTTCTGACAGGATTATTGTAGCTTTTACAGGAAATAAGGGTTAACCCTACTTGTGAACGCCGCACCCTTTTCTTCTTTATCGATGCTGCCATCTCTACAGTCATTCATTCCAGTTTGCTCCAGCCATTTAAAAAAGATTGAAGTTGCTATTTTTATTTTTACATATATATTTTAAAAATCCTGTATACTTTTGATCCACCATGGGCCACCAAGTCATTTCTGATTTATGGCAACCTTTTTCAAGGTTTTTGAGGTAGAGAATATACAGAAACAGTTTCTCATTCTCTTCTTTCTGGGGGATGCCCTGTGCAGCTAGCCCAAGGCCACCCAGGCTGGTTCTACTCCCAGGAGGCACAGGAGGGAATCGAACTCCCAACGTCTGGCTCTATAGCCAGAGACCTAAAGCCAGATCTGTGGCTAGTGTTCAATCTCTTGTCTGGGGCTTTTCTCTCCTTCTCTTCCTTTCTGTCTTATCCAGCTCTTGGCAAACTTGGGTCTTTGGATTACAAGTCCCAGTATCCCCACCCTCGCTTAGGGAATTCTACGAGCCATTGTCCCCACGGCCCTGAAAAAAGGAACTGCTTCACACTCTTGTATCGGCCAGAATTTCATGCTACAGTTCAAAGAGCCAAAGAGCCAAAGGTCAATTTAAAAATCAATAATATTAGCACCTCTGAGCTACGGGAAACAAAGATGTCTTGATCAGAAAGCGGTCTGAAAGTAGCTTGTTTGCTGTGGCCAGGGATGGGGGGGAGTGGGTGTGAAAAATGATGCAGAATACCTAGGCGGGTGTGATGTGGCAGGAAGAGGGTCAAACACAGGAAAAGAGATGAGGATAGTGAAAGAGCTTGCAGTAAAGTCAACGGCAAGCTGGGACAGATTAAATAGGACAGCTGGCTAACTGTCTGGGGGAATATGCCCAGTCTAGGGGGTTCTTCCAGTTTCATCCTTTGCAACCACGGCTTTTTGCTGATCCTCTAAAAGAGAACAGCCTTCATAGCATTGGGCCGTTAACTCCCATCACCTACCTAAGGCTTTCTACTGTTGGGCTTAGTCAAGGTTGCCTTTTCGTAAAGCACAAACTTCCTGCAAGAAGAGCGAGGGAAGGACGACAACGATTTTGATCCTCTCGAATCGTGCTTGGAGAGAAAAATCGAGTTCAGGAAGGCAGTAAGTAGCTTATTTGGGTGCCCCCTGTCCCTGGTTCCGTCCTAAACCACCCTGAGATGACACACCGGCATTTCTAGATATCCAGTCCTCCATGCCCGATACTTAAAGCCCAACTCAGTGAAGGCTGACAGCATCCTGGAACAAGAGGACACTGCCTTAGTGCGCTAATTGGTGGAGCTGGCCCCAGAGCTGAGAAATGTGACTACTACGACTCCAACAATCCCCAGTCAGCATGGCCTATGGCAGTGGTTCCCAACCTTGGCCCCCCAGGTGTTCTTCGATGACCACACCCAGAAATCCTAGCTAGCAGAGCTAGTCGTGAAGGCTTCTGAGAGTTTTCACCCAAAAACATCTGGGGACCCAAGGATGGGAACCACTGGCCTATGGCTATGGACATGACGCCTAAGGGATCAAGAGTTCTCATAAAAATAAAAGTATTTTTTTCAAGCTATGGCCAGCTATGCCTACCTGGGACCAGTTTTGAGAAACCAGGAGTCTACCAGTTCCTGAACGTTTTTGTTTTTGAATACTGAGATGGAAGGTCATCTCTGATGAAGGCTAGGACACTATCCCCATAATGTTCCATGTTAACCCAATTCTGCGCCTACACTGCCCGGATCTATAACCTCCTTGTTAAATGTTGAGCGAAGCCAAGGATCTTTCTGGCCATCTCTAGATTTCGAGAAGAAAAGTTTCAAAGTCTTGAGCTGGGTGGTTTTGGTTAAGGGTGGGGGGGATAGTCATCTGTGTTTCTCCTTCTGTTTTGAGGTTCATGTTACCTTGCTTTTGTCTCTGAAATGGAAAATAAGGAGCTGTTCATTGTGATATTATTATATTTTATATTATTTTTCTCTAAATTCTTACTAGAACTTACCAGAAATGGTTACAGTCCTGAGTTCTTTTGGGTGCCTCTTTGTCCCTTATCAAGAGCATTAACACAAGACAACTGGATAGCTCAGTGGTTTAGGTATCTGGAGCTAGAGGCTGGGAGTTCGATTCCCCACTGTGCCTCCTTGTCAGGAGCTGGACTCCATGATCCATAGGGTCCCTTGCAGTTCTAAGATGATGAGGATGAGGATTATAAGAAGGTTGACCAATCTAGATTTGTACAGTCTTACAAATGCATCATTTTGCCTATAAAAATCTGGTCTACTTCTGTCCACTCTGTCAGAGCCGTGACATTTATGTCCTGTGGTTTGAGACTCTATGACTATCATAGTGCCTGGAAATAAAGAAGATCTTAGTCACCAGAAGTTGGGGTTTCATTTTTTGTTCTCTCCCCATACCACACGCACAGCTACAGAAAGCCTGCGTTTCTCCCCCTCATCTTAGTTTGATCTCAGTGGTGTAAACATTTCCAGGAAGTGGCTTGAGATGAGGCACAAAATTGCTTCCACAGACAGCTGAAGCGGCAACATCTGTCTCTCGAGAACACGCTAATTCTTGCTGAAAGCCTCAGGCTTTTCAGGACTGGATCCAGGCCTGGAGAGGTCCTCCTCAAAGTGTCCTCTCATGGGCCACAACCCTCACCACTACTGGGAGGAGGTAATTTCCTTTTATATTTTTCAGTCCTCTGTTTGAAGGACTGAACCCTAAGGTTCAAGGATTCTAAGGAGGGAGATTCAGAATCGTGAAGCGGCCCATCTAGCGTGAGCACCTGGACTCAGCAGGTTCAGAGGTGATCCTGTCCTTCTGGTCCCCAGGCAGGTCAGATGCATAATTTGAGTTCTGCTTCACTCATATCAACCACTTACAGTTTTGCCTCTATAGAAACAAATCAGCATACGGCATTTCCTGCAAATGAGCTTCCGCTCTTGCTCTTTTCCCCCCGCCAATGCATCCCTTCTTTCTGAGTGACAAGAAAGTGGACACCCTCATCAAAGCCAACAGCAGGAAATATAGATATAAGAACACCAGGGAATAGATCAAAGATCAACCGTCTATTTACAGATGGGACCACCAGTTGTCTGAGAGCCCGTGTGCAGAACATGAGTGGAACCACAGCCTCACAACCCCCAACAACTTATATACAGAAGTACACAAAACTTATTGTAATCTATAGCCATTCTAATTGGCGGTTACTGATGACCTTAGTCCTTTTCAAAGAGAAAGGTGGGGTGATTTATAGATAGATAGATAGATAGATAGATAGATAGATAGATAGATAGATAGATAGATAGATAGATAGATAGATAGATAGATAGATAGATAGATAGATAGATAGATAGATAGATAGATAGATAGATAGATAGATAGATAGATAGATAGATAGATAGATAGATAGATAGATAGATAGATAGATAGATAGATAGATAGATAGATAGATAGATAGATAGATAGATAGATAGATAGATAGATAGATAGATAGATAGATAGATAGATAGATAGATAGATAGATAGATAGATAGATAGATAGATAGATAGATAGATAGATAGATAGATAGATAGATACATACATACATACATAGATAATTGTGTGCCATCACAACAATTCCAACTTATGGTGGCCCTTTCTAGGTAGATCCTCTTCCTACCCAGAAGAGGTCTGCAATTCCCTTCTTCTGGGAGCACCCTGGGACTGAACCCAAAGTCACACAGTCTCACTCTTCTTTCAGGAGACACAGTAGACTGAGTCCCCGACCTCTGGCTCCACAGCCAGAGACCTAAACCACTGAGCTGTCCAGCCAACTAATGATCCGAAGCTTCTCGAATATTGTTTAGGACCCTCTTTAAAGCCATCTGAGTTTGCATCCATCATTTACATCATGTGGCCGTGAATTGCTTCCTGTCAGACTCTGGTGGCAGCACATAAATGTTGGGTCCTTTTACCAGATTAAAGTGTGTTTGTGTTCTTCAGGCTGTGTGGAATTCAGGAATGGAGTCAGAGTGGAGGAACCAGGGATTCGCACCAGATAACTATCATTTAGAGCAGCCATTCTGAACCTTTTTTGGGCCACTGCCATAGACATAACATGAAAGAAATATAGGTTGAATCAGGATTGTTTAAGGTACACAACAAACCTTATAAGGTGGTGTGTAGATAATTGTTTTCAGTCTATGGCCCTCTTTAAATGTGTCAGGGCCCCCCAGGGGGCCATATTCCCCCCCCCCCCATTGAGAATGACTAGTTTAGAGGACAGAAGTGAATCTGCTGGCAATTATTGGGTCGGGGGATGGAAAATCTATTTTATTCCTCCATTTGGGGCCTGTCATATGCATACAACTCCTTTGTCTGGGGTTCATGTGAGTTGTAGTCTGACTCCAGCACATGACAGGTCCCTGGTTGGAGGAGGCTGTTATGAAGGCCTTCCCTCCTGCCAGCATTTAATTTAATTTAATTTATCTTTCTTTTTTATCTATCTATTATTTATGATTTATGTTATGTTTGTTAATTGATATTTTGAATTTATGTTGCTATAACTGTATTTATGTTGTTGTTAGCC